AGTGCAAAAGCACATGTCGAAAAAACACTTTATCGCGTTCCATTTTTCACAAAGCAAAAGAAATTGTTGTTTAGGAAAATAATTGTGTATGCTGACTGAATGTTATCGAGAAATGTCGAAATTAATCACAAACTACCTGTTTCGTTAGTAATGACTACTAGAACTGTTTGCATTGCCATCTAACATTTGCGGGCGGAAACTAAGTTAAGGTCCTAATAGGACGATTAATTGTGTTAATTTGGATTATTGATTTGCTGACAAATTTAAAGAACATTTTCATCGTTTTAATTCCCAATAGCGTTGCGAAACGCGAAAGAAAATACATTCAAATCGTTTTTCAAACGAAGGTGTATACACATGGCGTCATGAACACCTGGCATTTTACAATTAAGACGTAAACCATTTTCGATATAATAGTTAAATGATTCTAGTTACAACGATCAGGTATATACGATACCCGGAGTAAATGTCGATTTCCCGATGTGCGCGAACGAGGCGTAATGTTGCAATTTACACAGCTTTTCTTTTTCGTTACGCCTTTTCTTCCGTTCCATCTGAACGCACAAATACTCGTAATCTGCAAACAGAAAATCTCGCGTTCCGTCGCGAGAATTCATGCCACACCTATGACTATGAGGAATAGTTATCGTTGGAGACGACATCACGACTATCCACGAGACGTTCGAAACACGATTTGTGACGACCGTCGCGGTAAATCTGATGCTTGCGCCAGCGTTTGCTCACGTGAAAAACAAATTTCTTCCATTAAAAAATTTTTCTTCTATTTCTGTTTCGTTCTATTCAAAGGAAAGAGATAAAAGTTCACGCTTGTAAATCAATAAAATTTGTTAATCAATCCGAATTAATTAATCATTATGTGTAAAATCAACAATAATATTTCATCGATTGACAAAATTAATTCCAAGCATGAAATGTAGCTTTTATAGATAAAACCTATTGCGTACACACGCTGTACAAAAAAAATCTCCAGTTGACTGGTAACTGAATAGAGGCCGTACGAAAGATTTGCTGAGGAAAAGTAGCATCTCTGTTACTATAACTAAAAACATTCGTCTGGACATTCCGCTGTATTAAAGCTCGACTGAGATAACTAGGAGCAATCGGTTGAAATCTCCTGAGGGAATCTTTCTATTCCTACAACTGAGTTTTTATCTGGTCCTCAAGTAACAGAAAATTTAGTTACACTAACAGAATTGTTTTTTCCGTATAGAATCAATTGGAATCGATATTTGTTGTGTCTAATAAACATTGCAAACCATGAACATTCTAACGACGCGCGTCAGTGAAACAATTTAAAGTTTAGTTGACAGATTTAATGAGAGAATTTGGTAACGATCGCGCGAATGTAAATGACAGGCGTATTACCTTGAGAGAAATATAATGGGTATTTATAATTTTTACCCATCTTCTCTCTCCCTCTCCCCCTTTCTCTCTCCTGAACTGTTGACAATTTATTAGTCGGCATCAATTAGTGGCCGTGCACGAAGCGTAAAATTTCAATTGGTTTCTACTTCTGCAACGTAATGTCCATTTACAATGCCTATATCTATTTTTATTGCTACATAATGATTTAATCATGTCGATGATGTATATGATGTAATATAGGATATAAATAGTAGGAAATAGGATAATAAAACGAGTCTATCACTTTATTACTTGCCTTCATCGCCGCGATCAGGAAGATACGATTTTTACATAAAACATTATTGAATTTCAATGTAATTATTCACTTATACATAGCTTATCTTTGTATCTAAAAAGAGATGTCAATCTGATGGATACGTTGCAAAAATTAGCAGACTAAGAAACCTGAGTTATCTTGCAGTGCAGACATTGATATGACGTTGATAGGCACACGATATGGTAACATTCTCAAATAAGTATATTATATCTCGCGAAAGCATAGTGAAAGTATAGACATCTATAAAATAAAACGGCAACTTTACTACGACGATGATTAATAAATCCACGATTGATTAACGTGCATTACCTATATCACAAGTCAAAGGATAATAATAAAGTTACATTAAGATCTGTGGCGAATAAACGTTTGCTTTCTTCGTTTTGGACATCGTAGCTACGAGTATTCACGCTGCCATATTCTGATCCTAAATTACTTTTTTCTTATAAACAAATGATCACAGGCGTAAAATTTTTTCATATTTGGTCAGTGCATATTTGGTGTGCAAATTTCCAAAATTACATAAATATACATTATATACTCGCCCATACAGCACCAAATGTATGAAATACATCCTAGAGACATTCCAGAGATAATGTGATATCTCTGGGATGTCTCCGGGATGTATTTCGGACATTTGTGCTGTATGGGTTGCACATACATAGTCTAACGAGTAAAATTACTTACGTTCAAATAATCCCAGAAATGATTAGTTCGATGTCGAAACGATGTCGAATCAATATCGATTTGACGATTTCAACATCGAATCGACATCATTTCGACGTCGATCGACGAGTGATTTCTCGTTGGGATGTCGTCGAAGTCAATATTAGATGAAATATTGGAGTAATATCTTGGAACATAATCGGGAACTTCTCTAATCTGGAATTTTTTACTGAAATCTATAAATATTATACATAAGACGAAGTGAACTTTTAATTGATATATAAATGATAAAAATTAAAGTACAGCTGTCACATACGCGCGTGCGCGCATACACACGTACATATGATTATATATGTGACCATATAAGGACAAAATGCATATATAATTTATATATAATTATTATATATTATATATATATATATATATATATATATATATATATATATATAATTATTATATATATATATAATTTGATATAATTACATATAATCATTTATTCTTGGCTTATAACAAATTATAGCCATTCATCACTTGAAACGAGTTAAACGAGTGTTAAAACGAGAAATTACTTGGACTTTAATCGCATCTAATTTTACATTATGTTAACTATAAATATGAATAATGATCGATGAAAAGTTCTTCACTTTCTTCAATCATAAATTAAAAATTTAAATCATAAATTAAATCATAAATTAAAAGTCTCAATCATAAATTGAAAGTCGCGATTTGAATTCGATGACAGGTGACAGATTCAAGATTAGATGTGCGATAAATCGTTTTAACTGTATATTGCGCATGCGCAGTATTATACTATCCGTTTGTAGAGAGAGAAAAAGAACAGATTCACTACATTCGCATTTTCGATGGCGAGAGAGAGAGAGAAACACTAGTTGGATTAATGATACAGGATCACAACTCAATATCCTCTTTTATTTCAAACGAAATGTCAGACATATTTGCACACGTCCTATGTCTTCCTCTGTGATAACAAGCTGTGTTCATATTGCATTTCATAACCTATAATAACATTTCACATTTTTCTATTTAATTATCAGTATCAAAAGAATACAGAATGTCATCCTCACATACAACTGAATTAACTGAGCAACTAGTTAAAGATTACTCGAGTTATGCAAAAGTAAACTGGGATGACCATGTAAGTATGACCTACTTGACATCAGCCTCTGTAGAAAACAGTGAATAATCAATCTCAATGATATTGATAATTTCCAGATGAAAAGTTTCCGTGATATTATTGAGGATACATTGATACGCTTAGAGGAGTTCCAGTCTATTGTCACAATGGTTAGAAAAAATAATAAATAATCATGAACAAATCAATATATACCAGTGTTTCACTTGCTATTTAAAATATTTCTGTCTCAAGGTGGAGAATGGGAACGCAGAATGCATGCAACAGCATCTTCCAAAGTTACAGCACATGAAGGATGGCATGGCAACTCTTCGCAAAAGGATAGATGCTCTGGAGCATGTTGTTGCTATGGCCAATATGAACTTAAACACATTAGAAGCTGCCATAGACAAAGCAGAAGCTGAGCTAGGTGTATCGGACAGATTATTTGGCATGCTGAATCCTTTATCATTTTTTGTAAGTATATACTTTACAATATATCTATAGTAACTGCCTGAACAAAATGAAGTTATATGTTATGTTTAGGAGAAAAACTAAACAATTGAAAATAAATATAATTGGCTCTTGTAACATTTCAGAAGAAAGTTCAAGAATCTATTGCCTCTGGTACCGTGCCAATATACAAATCACCACCAATTTACAGATCTGATGATTATTTCAAAAGAGATTGAAATATAAGTCAGCAAAGAAGGCATAGATTATAATGTACCTGCTGTTAGACTCTTGGAAAATTCTCTGTAAACCCCGATAGATTAGTTATATCTAGCTATATCTTTAAAGAAGAAAGGACAGATAGATATTTATGCTCACATTTTGCACATTTGTTAAACACTACAGTGATTAGCAACATTTATTCAGTTAACAATTTTTTATTTTTTACTCACTCTTTTTTCAATCATCAGCTGAATGATATCATCTTGTTAGATTTATGAATTGCAGAAATATTGCGAAACGATCATTCGGATATCTCACTGCAATTCCTAAGTCAGGTCCTAAGTAAGGTCCTCTCATATTTCCTGTATTACATAAAACAAAGTCCCACGGACAATTAATAGTTTCTAGAGATAATAGCGTATTTATTTTCGACGACAATATTATTACGATTGTTAAGATTACGCGTAAAAGCACTTTAACACGCGGCGGAGGTGCAGGTTTTTAATTGAGCTTTCTTCTCTCCCAGGAAACAACTTCCTCCTATGCAATGCCTCCATCTCATAATCGTCCCTATTCCACAAGTGACGCTGCATCCGGACCAGTTGCTCCACTGATCCCATATCTTTGGTTCTCTGCCGTTCTTTCCTGCCGAAATAACATTGCGCTGGTCAGGTCAATACGTAACTATCATCACTTGTTGTCACATCAAATATTAGTGATTGTATAGTGTTTCCTTCTTGGAGATACATAAGATGCAACTTTGTATATAAGAAGTAGATTGAAAAGATAAAACTTCAATTCGGTTACTGATACTCGTAGTTTCGCGAGTAATTGATACTTGGCTATCTGTTAATCGACGTATCAGACGGTTACTACAGGTAATTAACCTGCGGAAATTTCCACCCTATCACAAATAGTTTTATATGTACTTCAGTGACTGGCATTGTGGGCAGGTAAACTACGAACCGGTCCCGGTGAAAGTCACGATCGACGGCCTGCAGTCGCGTGACTCGCACCGATCCCACTCTGTCTGCCTCGTGTGGCTATGTATCCGTGATTTAATCGCGTGAATTTTTTCTTCGTGCAATCACAAACAAACCCAAATCTCGCAGATTCGTGCAAGAATGTTATATTGCAATCATAAAATACTAATTATGCTAATCATTAAGCTTGACAACAAAAATGTTACTGCGAGTAATCAGCGTCATGATTGAAAGTAGAAATTTTGATGAATTATGAAAATCTATGTCTGTTATGTATATAAATGTATATATAAAAATTGTAAAAAATTTGTATTTGATTTCGCGCGCGCGCGAATATCAAATTTTGTCGATAGTACAAGTATTTTGTCGATTGACAATATAGTTCTGCGATATACGTGTTATTCATTGAATTTCCTCGTTTTTAATTATAACAACATATTAAGCGTAATTAAGTCAGTGTGTTGAGAAGGCTGGTTCGATTTTCAATAAATGGCGTCACATACACATGACACATATATCACAGACAACAGTGCTTACTTGGCTGATGACTAATTCGTTTCCATTGAATCCAGTACAGTCAACAAATTTAACTCAAAAATCAAATTATCGAATTTTTGAGATATTCAAAATCTTTTAATTATATATTTCATTATATTACACAATAGAGAAATCATATTGCTTACTCGCTCGTTTCACCTGGATATTATTGTTCTCTTTGCGATTGTCGCCTGCGTCGCTATCGATATTATAAATTTTGCGTCGGAATTTATTCGATTTAATCTCCTGTGCGCTGTCGATTGTATTGACTACTAGAGTAGGAGTAATATTTGATAACGTGTTGGCAAATTCCACATTGACCCCTTTAGAGGCTGAAATTGAGATACTTTTTTATATATGAAAGAATAAAAATGATAAATATCTCCGCGAATCGTAGGTATTTCGGCAATCACCTATAAAAAACAGAAATATAAAAAAGTGAACAGAAATTAATCGAATTCTCGCCACTGACATACTCTTCGTGTTACCAGTTTTATAAAAAAGATGCGATGTATTCAATCCTTATTGCTTGTTAAATAAACCGAAGTTTTCAACAAATGACTGACGTCTTGTTATGTACACCGTGGTTACGAATAATCGTCGATATTCCTGTTACAGTCCACTAAAATTACTATTTAATTATAATATTTCAATTTTTAATAATTCAATTTATAATAATACTTCATTTATAATATTTCATTCATAATATTTAATATTCTCAAATGTAAATTAAATGTATATTAAGTATAACAATACGCATATCTTAATTCTGCTTTGCAAATAAGACACTTAAGAATTTAAAACACCAATTCCGCTTTGATTTAGTACAACAATGCCGAAGTATAAGCCTGAAATTTGTAAGTGGAGACATAATTGAAGATGCGTTTACGAATCGCGCTGGTAAATATCGCCGGTCATGATTTGATTCCGAGCCAGCCGAGGAGACCTTTCGTTTCGCAATCTTTAATACGGCAGCTTCTCATCTGCGCTTTCTTGAGACCTTCACTGCAATTTTCAGACAAGCAATGTCGCCAACGGACTTGGCGTCCTTGCCCGCAAGTCACGCTGCATGCACTCCAATTATTCCAATCGTCCCATGTACTAAGATCTAGAAGAAGGAACAAAAACTAAATTTTACATGTGCAATGTTAGCAAGTTAGTCTTAATTGTTACCCATTACTTGTATTTTTATCGCTCATCGATGCCGTTTTTTTTGCTGCGGCAACATTGCGTCTTCTCTCCTTTAATTCCGCTGCGATGGTTTTTCGATGCATACTGTTAGATTTACGTCGTCTCATAGGACGTTTGTGCTTGTGACTGAGCAACTTTCGCCGATAAATCGTATCGATGCTCGTGCGAAAGCGCGGGTGTAAATTCCTCCTTGCATTTTTACAACAACATTGTTGCGGCGTCAATTTCTCTTTTATTACCTGCACACGCAAATTATAGTGAAAAATTCGGTCGTAATGTAATGGAGATCTCTATTTCAAAATCGAGCTAACAATCGCCTTGTATTCGCACAAACCTGTAATTTGTTCGTCACAAATCGTTGAATAGAACAGTAACATGGCAGCAAGTGAATGTCCGAATAATTACTTCTTTCGTTACTATTAAAATACATTGGATTAATGCATAGATCGCGTCGACAAGTATCGATTTGATTTACGTTCTCATCAAAATGTTATTGTAACGGACTAACAAATTTTTTCATAAATAGCAATAAATAAACAAACTTCGACAATTTTGTCTGCTTTGCCTACTGTTAGAATTAACGTTTATATCGCGTCATGAAAAAACGTACACGTTACAATAATATTTTACGTATGTCATAATGAATAAAATTCAGAAACATATAACCTAACGATTTTACCTTTGGGACTCATTGGCCAGATCAGTTGCTGATACAATTATATAATTTTTTGGCCTACTATTTGCAAATACTCCAACTATACAGGATTTCGGAGATCTTGCAACCTCATAAATCGCACAATCGAAGACAATACTATATATTAATATTAATATAAGTAATACTCGCATATCATATTTTCGTCGCGTGATTATGAATACATGGAAATATCGAGTAGAAAATCTTCGGCTAAGTTCAGTATGAAGTATTAATAATAACGATACGTCTTTAGACGTATAATATTCTCGCTTGAAACAAACACACGCGTTTCTGTAAATAAGAGCACCAAACCATTTTGCAGATTATCATTTATTCTGCATCTACAATTTCTCGTCTTTTCAACGATATTTACATTTCCTTTTTATTTATTTTCAGAGTATTCTAGTGTAATTTACTACATTTACAATATAATATGCTCTCATATATCATTCATATTAATATCCTTACACACATTACAATTGTGTATCAGGAATTTCAGGAAAATATATACTTTGATAGATAAGCTATGAAATTTTGTAAAACAAAAAGAGGTTTATATAAAACAGGATATTAAGAATTTTGCAATAACAAGTGCAATAAAGATAACATTATAAAACACGTTATATTAATTGCTACTTTAAAAATATAAATATTGTAAGTAACATATTAAAATACTATCACTTGTTTAAGGGGATGCTGGATTCGAAAAATGTCGATAACGCAAATGTCACTAACACAATCACGCTATCCTTCTTGTATTTTTTTATACATACAGAACTTACATAAATATTGTTTTTTTTCACCATTCAGCAGAAAATCTAATCACGTATATACGTATATCTCGTATATGTATAGAAACTTTTCTGATATTCTTAAGTTCCTGAATTCAGATGCAAACAGGAATACAGCAATGTTCTTTAAAAATTTTCTGTTAATTTTGTGTGTCCAACACTTTTTGGTATGTACAAGTTACGGAACTTTTGGATTAGATAAATATTACGCTGATAGCTTGAAATTTTACATTTAAAATCTCTTTCGTTTTTGTCACATATTGAATAATGCTCCTATTTATTTTTGCACATACTTTCATTGCATAAAAAATTTGTAATTCTGTATAATCAATACGACGTAAATCTTGCAGAAAAATGTCAATATTCTGTCAGTAAAGTTTTCAGTTTCAGCATCCCCTTATATAATGAGAAATTAACAAAATATATATCTACACATCACATGTGTGATATAATACATATAATGATCATGTTTACTCTTTTTCCTATTTATTTTATATATATATATATATGTATTTCGAAAGGTCCGAGAATATTTAAAATTATGTATCAATAAAATATATATGCAATATAAAAATATACGCACCTATGTTAACTTATTCTATTTGGAGATCAAAGCATAAATCGGAGTTAATCAGTAAAATATACTCTAATCTATATAGTATCAATAAATATCGAGTTATTAGTCAAGTACACAGAAATATCTGTGTGTCATTTGAGCGTGAATGATAGTTCATGGATTCAATACGTCGTAAAGCCTGAGTCTGATTGTTTATGGTATTTTGTATACGCGCATTGTGTTGACAGATTCTAACATCGATACATTTCTGTAAGAGAAACATTGTACTAATATGTCGATAATATGTCAAATTTACTGACATTAAAGTCTAAAGAAAGCCTTATGCGCTCGACCATTTGGTATTTGACCTTGTAGTCTCAATCTGCGGACAGCTTCTCGCAGATGCTTTGGCTGTAGTGGGCCAGTTTCATCGTGACGTTCCATAACATCCAAAGCTGCGCGACAATCAAAATAATTTAGTCAGTAATATATCTATTATTTCAATAAGTTCAATGAACTTTATTATGAGAAAAAGTTATACCCTCTTCGACGATTTCACCAACAAATACTTTGGCAATCCCTGACATAGCTATGACAACATTTTGAGACACTGAACAACCCGTTATCGTTTGCATGATCTGAAATATAAATTGTCAATATAATGTATTTTTTTTTAATTACGGATTGCTATTTTTCTACTAAAGATTCTAATTGAAGATACGATACCCTTTTTATAGCTGCTTTTGGAAATGCGGCGCGTCTGTACATTTCATATCTATTCAGCTGATCCTCAGTGAAGTTGGATACTAACACCCTGTTAAAATAATATTATGATTATTAAATACATTTTCTAAGTAGTATGCATTGTACATATACTTAAATACAAATACATACTGCATCTTTTCTCTTTCCTCTTCTTCTAATTCCTTCTTGCTTTTTTCCTTACTTTCTCTTCTTTCTTTAGAGCCAATTGGTTTTGCACGTGGTAATATTATATCATTGCCGAATATATCTTCAGGAGTCTGGTCTTCTTCCTTTGATTCAATCTCGTGCTTTACAACTTCTATCTGATCCTCTATAACTGGTGCCACAGAATTCGATGTCATCTCTTCAGTATCTGACTGTGACTGAGAGCTTGTTGCATCTGATTCTGCCTGCAATATTATTAACCTACTTAGAATACTGTTAACACATAAAAATTATGAATTTTAACCTTTAAACATCACTTATACCTTAACTTGCATACCATCAACACTTACAACCTCAATATTTTTAGGTGCTATATTTTGTAAGAGGTTGTCTTTGTTATGTTTTTCATCAACATCCATATGTTCACTTTCATTTCCAGAATCTTCCTTCCCAAAGATATTTTCCATTATAACTTATAAAAATAATAACTCAGTAAATATCAACTAATAGAAACATCAATTTCCTACTCAACAACGTAATTATTACATAGCACATGCATTATATTACATTTATATTGCTCAGTAATTATAATATTGATGTTGTGTTACTTATAATTAGTGTTTACTAGGAAATAGTAAATATGCATACACATATATATGGATATACAATATGTTTATGCAATGTTTTTACACATATATTATAAATGTATCATAAATATATGTTAGCAAGCAATATCATTTATTTCTATAAAATATATAAATACAACCATGTAAAATATTAATATAAATGAAATTTTGTGCAATGTTTTTTATCAGGACAAAATATATTTCATGACTTAATATTATACATCGTAGTAATACAATAAACAATATTCTATTGTTTATTGTAATAAAATAAACAATGTTCTGTGCACTGTTATGCATTCTGTGTTATTTACAGGAAATAAAGTAATGAGCGTTAGTTTATTGATACACAACGCGTTTAGGTTAGAAAGTTATGTTACATATACATGTGCATGATAAATGTATGTAACATGAATAAAAATATCAAATTTAATGCGAGTTATTAATTTCTACAACTTACCGTGATAAAATAATATATATTTTCTGTCACTAATATTAAAACAGACTTTGACAATGAATATCGTTCATGCAACGAACGTACACAATTGTAGAACAGCTGTTTCTACTTAGCAATGACGTCATCGTCGGCAGCATTCTACTACGCTATGCAATGCCAAGTCTGTAACACGTATCTATTTCGTTCATATCTTTTGTATAACATTACAACGAGAGAAACGTTTGCGACAAATTGATATATTTTGCGCAATTGGACCGCGGAATCGCGTGAAATCTTACTACTATATCGTTATATATTGTAGCTAAATATCCCATAAGACGGGAAATATTTCTTCTAACAATGTTATACAAAGCATATAAATATAATTAAGCTTCACATATAACATATTCATGAGAAAAATAATGTTGAAAAGGGCGCTAAGTAAAGTCTCGCGTATTACAATTTAAATCGAGCGCATTTTTTCTTTGTATTATGCTTTAAAATTTTGTGAGCCAATGACCGGTAAGTGTCCTCAGCCAATAGAATTGTTTCTTTTCCAAAGCACTTCTTGAACTGGCATACTAGTGCAATAAGTTAGAATGAGATATTTTATATTGTTTCACTCTAACCTCCCAAACAGCACAGGTCTCCACAGGATATCCTAAAGATGTTCTAAGAACGTCCTACGTCTTGAGAACATCTCCTGGAGATTTTGTGCTGTTTACGTTATTGCACTGATGTGTACCAATTCAGGAAGTGCTTTGAAAATGAAACAGCCCTATTGGCTGAGGACACTTGCCCTAAAGGCTTGTCATTGGTTCACATTTGAATTTGATATCTCAATCATCGCCATATTGGTAGTCGGAACGGTTCGCTGCTGGGTAGTTGGGTTCGTCAAGCCGTCCCGTATTTTCGTAATTTGAATCCATCTGAAGTGAGTCTCGCACGCAAATTATCATCGAGATTGTGAGCAATAAGTTTCTCGCGTTCGTCATGACAAAATACTACCATATAACCGCCGGTAGTGAGTGTCTCGGAAATGTCAAGTAAAGTGGCGCGCAATTGCCAGGTTATGGTAGTTCGGCAGTTCAAACCGTCGCCTGTTTGATTAGTCTCGTGAATTATTCTCAAGGAAGAGTGATGAGTAAATAAGTTTCGTACGTCTCTCGTAACGGAATATTCTTAAGAATACGTCGAAAATGGGTATGTCGCAGGAGCTTGTCGAGAGTTTTGAGTGAAGTGCGCGCATATTGATACTTCGAGTATCTCAATATCGCCATGTATCTGATATATATCAACGGCAGTTAGAAATGGATATGGCGGAGTGTTAACACGGATTCGTCGAGCCGCTCTGTGTTGCTCGCGATTTTGGTTCATTAAAAGCGAGTCCCGCGCGCGCGAGTTGTCGAGATTGTCGAAATCGGTTTCGCGCGTATGTTGCTGCAGAATATCGTCGAGCAGTCGCCGAAAGTGAATATTACACGCCTGGAAATACTGAGCAAAGTAACGCGCGATTGCCAGAGTAGTTCGGCAGTTCAAATCGGAAGTACTGCAGTGCCAGTGTCAACGGCATGGAATAAATTCCACTTGACATCAGGCTCGACAAGGAAAAGTCGGTGAGTGCTGCAGATCATAACTATAGCAAATAATTTCGCAGAAATATATCATTGCCTTGCAGTCGTATATCTTTATATCTTTTTCATCTCAAGTGTCACGAAAAAGTACTAGTAATGTCCAAGAACAGTCGATAATATCAGCGTATTTACATATTATTTCCGGTTTCCTAATCTCTCTCTCTCTCTCTCTCTCTCTCTCTCTCTCTCTCTTCCTCTTTTCATTCGTGAGATGTTAGTCAAAGAAACAGCAGCGCAAGAAATAGTCTTTCCTATTCCCGGCGTTTGTTTACCGTCGAGACATCTATGTATTTACCGCGGCGGCGTGCCAAGATGAACGCTAGGCTCGATGAAAACAGCGGCGCGTTACGCCGTCGAGAGAGGACGCCGGGTGGCCATTGGTTGCGCATGCCGGCCGCGCGGTGGCGCCGGCAGGCTGTAGCGTGAGCGCGAGACGGGCGGGCAGACAGGCCGCCGACGGTGTCACGACGCCGTGCCGAGTATTTGTCAATATCTGGTCGCGCTCGAGATTTTCGGCGTCCTGCGTGGAAAGCGCGCGCGTGCACCGCGTCAACGTCCCGCGTCCGTGTTCTCTCCGCGCCGCGAAGGCCGTGCGCCTCGTGCTCCAGTTACCGTGCAAGTACGTGGATCGTTCTGCCGCTCTCGTTCGTTCGCGTCTTCCCCGGCTCTCTCGAGAGGCTCCCTCCTGGCGTTTACACGAACGAACGGCGGGCGCTGCGAACCTGGCCGAGCGAGTTCGGGAGTGCGCGCAAGTACGATACCCTATACGTGCGAGTCTGTTCACGCGAGTGACGATATCACTGAGGGGGCGGACGACGACGACGGTATACACAGTGTACGCAACGTATCTCGCGGATAATACCGTGACAGCAGCAGCCGCAGGGAGCGGCGGTCGGTCGTGATACTCAGCCACGGAGCGTCCTCCTGCCGACGAATGCGGTCCACGGCCGGGTATTAAGATGTGAGTGCACTTGCAGTATATACCGCGCGTCGTTTTCTCTTTCTTGCTCTCAGTTTTTCTCTTTCTCTCTCTCTCTTCTTTCTCTCTCTCACACACACTCTCGCTCACTCTCGCTTTCTCGCTCACTCGCTCGCGAGCACGAGCGAGCCAAATCGCGGACAAGACGTGGTGAGCGCCCTATGAGAGAAAGGGTTTCGTTGACGGCCGTCGGGCTCTCGGCCACGGCCTCGTCGACGTATTGTTATAAACACAGACCGGTTCGCCGTGCAGCACAGCTCGTACTGTACAGTATTCTGCATGCGTGTGTATGAGTGCGTGTATACTGGGTGCTCCAAAATAGACGGAAAGATGGTCGCATAGCGTCCTCCATCCTCGTGGTACTCGAAGCAAATATTTACTTTGTAAAAAATCGTCGAGTTTTTTTCAAATTTCGACATTCGATATCTCATGACTAAGCCATAAATAATGCAGAGGATACTCTTTCAAGGTAAATTGTGCTCGTCGCGACTTCATCATGAAAATCATGCTTTATTTCTATTTTTGTTCCCGAAACTTGATATACAGAAGATCCTTTTGTTCTTATAGCTCCAAAAATTTATGAGCATTTTGCCGATTTTGTTGGCAAAACTTTAGGCCAAATTTCGCGGCGTTTTCGAAGGAACAAGCTTATGTGTGTACTTTTCATCAATTCTTGGATACCTTGTATACGTCGCCTATGCTCGCGTGTGCATGCGCGTTGGTATGAGTGCGCGCGCTGCTTATTCGTATAATCCCACACATATACGTTCTCTCTCTTTCTCCCTCTCTCTCTCTCTCTCTCTCTCTCTCTCTTTCTTTCTCTCTCACTTTCTGTGTTCTGTCTCTTCTCTCCTCTTTTCCGATTCTCTCTCTCTTTTTCTCTAGCGCCATATTTAAGGGGATATACGTGACAGGTACGTGCTCACGGAACCGGTCGATCGACACTTTGGATGCCGTTTTTTGCGAAGGGCCGATCTATCCTCTTTTCCTTCTCCTCTCCGTTTTTTCTATCCTTACCTCTCTATAACCTTCGCCTTTCCGTTGCGATTCGCTTTCACGGAGATGCTACATAGAACAGAGAAGTAGAGTATGATATGATATACTTACCCGTTATCATCCTTATCCATTTCCCAGATAATTAAATTGGATTGCTCTTTGACTAACTCCAAGTCTCTGACTAACTCCATAATCATACTCGGCCTCAGCACTTGGACATAACAAATTACTGCATTGAATTAATGTGATATTAACTGTGTGCGCGCGTGTGTGGCTATTCATTTTATATGATCATCATAATCGATATTTATAGTGTTAACATACTTTATGCACACAGTCAATTTCTTACTCGTATATCGTATCCAGTTCAAAGTGGATATTTCAATTCGAACGAAATGTCACGTTTTCGAAATCAAGTTCTCGACGAAATGAGCAGTTGTTATGCAGAGATTATGCTCGAATATATCGTAAAAAATTTCGAATATTGAGTGCGTGTTTCTACATCGTTTTGAAAGCGCCTTACGCAACACGAACGCATTGAATCGATGCAATCCGATTTAATTGATTTGAGTTTGGATCCGGGAAACGGACGAACGGCTTAAGCTCGGTCCACACGGAAGCGCGTCTAAGCGAGGCCGCGAAGAGAGTCCACGCTAGTCGGCCCTTATCTTCGGACCACCCTGGACGCGTATATATCTCGAACGCTGCATCTACCTGTCGACGTATAAGGCGTGCTGTCTGGGGGGATACAAAACTGAAGGTGGACGGTCGTTGGCCGGGAGAGAAACGACCTGAGTCTCGTACCGGGAGACTGAGCGAAATAGAGAACGGGAGAGCGAGAAAGCGAGCCTGTTTTACGACGGAGCTACGCTCCGCCAATTCTCTCCGCGAGCGTTTTCAGAGGCGTGGTGGGAAAGCCGCGATGATGATCGCGTCGGCCTGTACGATGCGTTATATTCGATTCGTACTTTGAGATTGATCGCGTCCAATTAGACAATGCGCAAAATTAATTATTGTTTTGTGTCTCGCTCGTGTAATATGACGCGGCGCGTAAGAGGCTAAGCGGTAAAAGCCATCACACACAAAATTTCGTAAGAACTTAAAACGTAAGCGTAAAGAAATCGACCAATCCCAATCGAGCACTCGGCTCTTCGTAACCCATCCATTATTACGAAGAGCCGAATACTCGATTGGGATTGGTCGATTTCTTTACGCTTACGATTTAAGTTCTTACGAAATTTTGTGTGTGATGGCCTTAACTTCGGTAAATCGATACGCTTAGCGTCACGTACGCGCGATAAGAACATTATCTATACACTGGACTCCTTTTGTTTTCTCTCAAACGGTCAGAAAATATCAGTCAAAAAATTCTAAAATTACAGACCGGATACAGCGATACCGGATGGAGTTACTTCAGTTTTCGTCATATAGCTTCGGATCGTAAACTTCAATTTTATTAGTTGTGTCAGAAAAGATAGGGTTTTCTGAAGAATTTTTTATATTGCTTATTCTGTTGCACTTCCTGATTAAAACAGGTAGCATACACTATATTACATCATGTGATTACACGATTACATATTGTGTAATTACGTGATTGAATATTCCTGCTTCTTATATTTACTACACTTATCAGTTTCATGTTAAACTTCATCTTGTTCCTCCGTTATTGAATTCATTTGTATTTAATTAGATGTTATATTTTCTTATTCTCGTTTTTTCGATTTTATTGCTTTCATAGACAAAGATGTTTATTTTGGAAGATTTGTTTCCCTGATTTGAAACTTTCTTCTATTGTTCTTGCTTCGTTTTCACTTTGATCCATCCTGACTTGGTCCATCTCGGCTCGAATATGAATTTTTCGATTAATATCGATCTATTGTAAACGACCAACTTGGAA